CCTCGCGGGGGTCCACCAGGGCCGCTCGGCCCCTGTGGGTGCCAGGGCAAGGCAACGCCCCCCTCCCGACGGCCCGCGCCAGCCCAGGACTTCCCCAATCCAACAAGATGCACATCCACATTTTTTCGGGGACCAAGGAGCAGCCCGCGAGAGCGCAGGGGCTTCCTTCGCGGTACGGCGGGGCTTCACGCCCAGCGTCCGCCGCGCCCGGAAACCCGAAGAAAGTAGACGCAGGGGAAAGAGAGCCCCAAGCCGCCCTGCCGGGGCGTGAGCCCCTCAACCAGAAGCGGCCCCCGCTAACTCTCCGCCTCCTGCGCAAGGCCGCGCCGCGCCCCGATCCGGCGCGAGCTCGCGCCCGTCCCGCCTGCACGCCGCCGGAAGGTGTCCCCCCTAATAGATGCTCGGCAAACGGGCCCCTCAGCCCACTCATCGACTATAATGCGGGCAGTGGCAATACGCTTCGTCCCCCCAGGGCGAGGGAAGGGCAGCCCCCCGACGGGTCCCGCATGCTCGCCAGTGACCCTTCTCACCCACGCCCTCGCCCCCGCTTTTCGGTTTGGACTGGGAGCCTCGGAGAGTGCCAGGGGCTTCTTCCGCCGCGGCCGGGGGCCTACGCCCGGCCGGCCCGCGCCCCACCAGTCCTCCGTCCCCGGCAACCGAGAAGGGCGCATGGGGCGTCCGCAGCCGCAACCAGCCAAGGGGCCTCTCCCGTCCCGTTCCGTCACGGCCGTAGCTCGACCGGGGGCTCGCCCGCCCCGCTGCCCTTCGCCTGCAGCCCGCAAGGTCGCCCGCTCCCCCCCCTATAGCCTTTGTCGGTGCAGGCCCTTCAGACACTCAATGACCTACCGTCTCATCTCTACAGTCATACACGCGCCCAGGGCCCTTCCTCCCTCAGGACCCGCCTCGCATCAGGGAAAACACATCGGCCCTTTGGCGAGGGCAATTCGGCTAGAAGACCGCGACTCACGTTCTTCCCTCAAACACTCAGCTGCTCCACTCTAGTACTCCCTCAGCTGTAATCCTCTCGCTGTGCCCGCACGGCGGCCCGTGCAAGGGGCGACAAGCCACAGCTCCAGCCCCTGCACGAGGAAAGAACGAGGCAGACTGACAGGCCAGGTCGCCAGCCACCGGGGAGCGAAGGGGAAAGGGAAAGCCCAAGCCGCCAAACCGGGGGCGGGCGGGCCCTGTACCGCCGGTGCGGGAGGGCAGGCCGGCCCCGACGGCGGCCGCAGCAGCAGCGGGCTCGAGGGGGTCGCCCCCCGCCGCCCGCAGCCGAGGCAGTCCCCCTGTCGTTGTCGGCGCAGGCCCTCAGCCACCACGACCGCGCCCAGGGCCCGCCCTTGCCCGTCCGGCCGGGGCAAGGCCCCGTCGGGGGTGCGGCAGGGCCACGCCCGAATCCCACGCCACCGCCCTCGGCCCGAGAGGGCGCCAGGGGCCGATGGGGGTAAGCCCGAGCCAACCCCTGTTCTAAGGAAGACGAGGCAGGCGGACCAGGCCAGGCCAGGGCCTGCCGCCGGCCGAGAGGGCGCGGGGGGGGGCAAAAGGGGTAGGGAAAAGCCGTCCCTGGCCAGCCAAGGAAGATGTGGCTGGCAGGCCAACCCAGGAGGCGCCGCCGCCACCGCAGCCCCCAGGCCCACAATCTCCTCTCCACCCCCCTAGGCTGAACGGCCTCGCTGGGCAGGCCGCCGCGCCGCGCCCGCTCAGCCCAGGGCGCGGCGGCACGGGGGAACGGACCGAGTGGGAGACGCGCGGCCGCCGCCGCCGCCACACAGCAGGCCAAGGGCGGCGCTCGGCTCCGGCGGCCCGCGCTCCCAGCCCGCCCGGCAGCCCGCCCCGCTACCCGCGGCCCCGCACCCAACCGCCTCTCCCTATAGTTGGCGGCGCAGGCCCGCAGCCAACACGACCAGAGACAGGGCCTTCCATCCGTCCGGCAGGAGCGGGAGCCTGGCGGACGCTAGGGGGACTGCCCCCGGCGGGGCGGTCGTGATGTGGGTTGCCTGGGGGGGGGGGGGTAATGGAGGGGGTCACCGAACCACCACTCGCCCCCCACCCCACCGTTCCTCTCGTACTGGGCGGGGCTCCTGTCGCGACGTGGCGACGTTGTTAATAGCACAATGTAATTCACGAAAAATGGTGTTCATTTTTTAAGAAAATCATCTGAATTATTGTGGTGCTTGTGGCAATTATTACTTTATTTCCGTACATCTGGCAACGAGTGCATTGTTGACGTGCATCTTCCCCAATTGTTGATCAACCGTTGTTCGGATTAATTTAATTCCAAATTCCACTTTCATGGTGCAATATGAAATAAGATTAAAAACACATGAGTTTATTTGATTTATTTTGAAGTGATATATATATATATATATATATATATATATATATATATATATATATATATATCGGAGAAAGACCATTAGAGGGAAAACAGGAAAACCACTGCAAGCACGACATTTGGTCACGTGTTCCTCGTCACTGTTTCCTCTGAAGTTTCCTGAAAAAACGAGCTGTGATCATGGATTAACGACAACAGAGAAAACATAAACAAAAGTGACATTCCATTACTAGGAATAACAACAACAGCAAGAATAGATAATAATATCACTATCAACCATAATGGCATAATTGATTATATTGATAATAACAACCGTAATGATTACAACTAATGGTTTCCTACTCTACTCACAGCCTCCGAAGCCTCCGCCAAAGCCTCCTCCGCCTGAAAAAAATGTCAATTTCTCGTAAAATGTAAAATATTTTCAACAATGCAGCGTGAAGATGAGAATTTATTTATTTTCATTATTACAAATGTGTATTTTAGTGTTTCATTAGATGTTTTCATTTTAGTTCGTTAGATAGTTTTTTCCCTTTATATAATAATGCGTTTTGGGGAAAAAATAATAAATAAATATGATTTTCAGCGTGCAGTCTGCATGTGGTCTTTGCGGGTTATGCAAGACTTTTTCCTCTCTCTAACGGACACAATAATCAAATCAAACAAAGACGTGCGAGTACACACACACACACACACACACACACACACACACACACACACACACACACACACACACACACATATATATATATATATATATATATATATATATATATATATATATATATATATATATATATATATATATATATATATATATATATATATATATATATATATATATATATATATATATATATATATATATATATATATATATATATATATATCAGTAAACTAACACGTAGAAGGAAATTCCACTCCATACATGTCAATCATAACCAATGCCGATGATTGCAAAAATATTGCAAATGCAAGCCAGAGAAGAAGGCTGCAGGCCAGCGCCAGAGGAACCGCTATGAGGAGGAGAAATGGGGAGTGCTTCCGCCGGATGAAGCGGGCCGTCAGGGAGTCTTCCACACGCCATCTCCCTCGGAGTACTCACCTCCCAGTCCTCCACCGCCTCCGAAGCCTCCGCCGAAGCCTCCACCGCCATGACCTCCATGGTGACCTCCGTTACCTCCTCCGTGACCGCCGTGGTGACCTCCGCCGCCACAGCAGGCCAAGGACTTGGCGCCGACGAAGGCGACGGCGAGAGCCAGGAGGAGGACGAGGGCGAGGAACCGCATCTGAAGGGAGCGTCGAGGGAGAAGGACCCTGAGGAGCTTGGCCTTTTCGGGAAGCATTTATTGTTATTAATCAATTAATTTATCAAGAATTTAGTCAATAGTATTTTCATTATATCTAATTATTACTGCTATTATGTTCTTATCATCATTACTGTTACTATTATTATTATTATTATTATTATTACTGCTACCACTACTATAACTGCTATAATTTGTTACTATTTGTACCATAACTGCTACTGTTCTCATCATCACCATCATTATTATCATCTATTTCAGTACTGTTTCAATTACTATAATACTGATATAATGTCATTATGTCATCGTCGAACGTAAAAGCAGTTATGAAGATGAAACTTCCCGATGCCTGTCGTTTTACATGTTAGCTCAGCATTTTTTCTTAGATGATGTAATTGAATTTCGATGTTAATCAAATCACGCATCAGCGCGCGAGCGGAATTGACTGAAAAGCAAAATGTATAACAAAACAAAGGCAGATGACTCCAACGCCACAGCTGACACATGGCAATGGGTCTCAGATTTCCCAGGCTTCTTACCGTGGTCTTCGTGAGCTCCTGGACTGCCGAATCTTGAGGACCGAAGGGCTTATATGTTCCCTTTGCGCCCCTACTCCTTCTGCTCCCTCCCCCCTTGAAATCTTGACCCTGACCTTTATCCTGCTTGGGATGACGCCTAACCCATCGACCGAACCTTGAAGGATAATGCTAATCATGTGTGCAAACCCAATCAGAGACGTCAGTTCCCGACCCGCTGCAAGGCCTTGGCTTCGACTTCGTCATCGAGCTCCTGGATTAAACAAACAGCTGATCTTGAAACAAACACATCTGCTGGCCTCCGATGCAGTGTATACGCACATGTGCATGTATATATATTATATATATATATATATATATATATATATATATATATATATATATATATATATATATATATATATATATAATATATATATATATATATATATATATATATATATATATATATATATATATATATATATATAATATATTATATATATATATATATATATATATATATATATATATATATATATATATATATATATATATATATATATATATATATTATATATATATATATATATATATATATATATATATATATATATATATATATATATATATATATATATATATATATATATATATATATATATATATATATATATATATATATATATATATATATATACTATACACACACACACACACACATATATGTGTATATATATTATTTTTGTCATAAAAATATGCCCCAATGAGGCCTGAACCCCGGTGCTCGTGTAGTGGACGACGTCGCTAATACGTCGTCTCACTCCAGGAAATACCAAAACCCCAAATCTTCTCTCATTTTTAACCTCTCCCACAGGCGTGGTACTGAAAAATAGGTGAACCCGGGGTGGCAACACTCCACTGGCCGCGAGGTGGCGACATTTTGCCTTGTATTTCTGCATGGAACAATTGGGGAGACTATTGAAAATTGGCATCATCTCCCTTGCATCCCCCTCTTTGAGAAGCCACGGACTTCGGCCGTCCATCCTTCGCCGAAGCCTAAAGAACGAACTGTTTATCCCTGCCAGCGAGGAGGATGCTCGCGCGCGGCGTGTTGCCACACCAGCACCTTTTTATTATTTTAATAAACCTTATTTTTGTATGATTTTTTATGGCACCTTTCTCACCTCCTACATCACGACCTCAGATGGATTTTAACCCTCAGTAGGCTTTATTTAAACATATTTATTATTTTATTTCAATTTTAAATGAAAGAGAACCCAATTCATTTTATTTTTTAGTCTTATTTTATTTCTCATCATCTTAATGGGTTGCTTTTAATTACTTTTATTTTCTACTTTTAGTTCATCAGATTTTACATATGGCCATAACTGATACGATGGTTCTTTTAACGTAAAGTTTTTATTTCGATTTCATTAGTTAATTATATTTTTATCAAATGTTATTCTAGAAGTATTTCCTTTTTATAGTCTTATTGGATTTTAACATGAATTTTATCAGTTTAGTATCAGAGGGAAACCCTGATTTTAGCTTACTCCCGCGTAGGAACTGACGTGGGAGGTCAAACAGACAAACTCAGGGGATTCGAGGGTTGGTCGTGACTCTGACTGCTAGTGAGGGAACCCCGGAACGACCATTCCCCTTTTTCCTAAAGATAAGTGGTTGTGGACGTACCTGACTATAGGAGGTGAGAGAAGTTTGCTAAGTTATTTGTTCGGCGAAGTGACCTAATGATCTCGGTGCCAGTCCATTTATGGTTTTATTATTTTTATGTGATTTTACCAGTGCTTTCTTTTAAATTATTTTACCGTTCAATGTGTTGATTCCTTTGTTCAGTGTTTTATCTTTTGTTCAGTGTTTCTTTTATCTTTTGTTCAGTGTTTTATCAGTGTTTTATCCAGTTTTATTGTCGTTTTGTTCAGTTTTATTGCGTTTTATTGTTCAGTTTTATTGGTTGTTTTATTGTTCAGTTTTATTGTTTTATTGCCGTTTTATTGTTCAGTTTTATACCATTGTTTTTGTCGTTTTAATCTTTTATCATTTTAATAAATAATTTTACGCATGATGAGTTTCCCCCTAAACCTGATGGGAAAAGAGTATCAGTGGAAATCATAATTAATGACAGTTGATTACTTTATTAATTGCGTTGGAGATTTCTCCCCGCACACGCCTCTCCTCGGCTTAGATTCACGCATACCGACCTTTATATTCTCGCCACAACCATATACACCTCACACACGCACCACACACATCCTCACAAACTATCGCTCCTTTCCTGCATCGCCTTCTACACTATCCCTCTTCCCACAAACAACATCCGTTCCCATACGGCAATTAAATGGGTGGTGGCAGTCACGCTACTTTTACACTCTAAGGCGAGATATAATTGCAATCGCAGTTCACTACACTCGCCCAACGGCGCCGCCCCCCCCCCTCCCGAACGGCCGAGGTCCGAACGGCCGCTCGGCTCGCCACACGTCCCTCGGCCTCATCGCCCCGCCCTGACTGCTTCCGCGTCTGCTGCAGATGCGGTTCCTCGCCCTGCTTCTCCTGCTGGCTCTCGCCTTTGCCTTCGCCGCCGCCAAGACCTTGCCTTGCTGCTTCGGCGGAGGTCACCACGGGGTCACCACGGAGGTCACCACGGGGGTCACCACGGGGTCACTCATGGAGGGCATCACGGTCATCATGGTAAGAAAGTACTTTTTCATATACTGTTCATATAAATATTTTAAAAATTAATTCATTGACAGTTTCTTGTCTATAATATTTACTGTCAACAAATATCCCCTTTTATTAGTCTGCATACAATCACACTCTAATAAAACGATTATTTAAAGAATACCTAAACTATTTTCGATCTATTACCAGGTTGATTCAGCAGCGACTTCCGTTTGCCAGCATGACAAATAAAACTTTTCTGAAGATTTGGTTTGTGTTTTCAATCTGATTTCTCCTTTCACCTTCAAACAGTGTATAATGACAAGTCACGAGGGTGTAAACTTCATTAAGAGGATAAATGTATTTACGAAAATTTATGAACAAGTAGAGTCACTGGACTAATTGCCTTTGATAAGAATAATTTGATGTTGTCAGACTCGATCCTACTCCCAGATTCATCCTAAAAGCATTCGTATGACGCTGACAGTGTCACCATCCCAAAGGCCGTCATAAGAGCCATACATTAATCGTTTAATTAATCAATCGAAATTCAACTTTCCTACACTTTAAACCAACTTTGCGTACGTCATACCCGGATGTTATCCATATTTCACTCGATATCTAATGAGATGTCGAGTCCCACCATTTCCGCGCAAATTACACTTGGTAAATCCTCTCTGCACAAATGAATAATATTTAACGCATTTTCGGCTGACGTTACTCTCTGCGTCCCACTTTCGCTTCGTCATCGTCAAAGGCAACAAGCAAGGAGATCGCTCGGAATGGGCAACCGGAGGCGAGTTCAATCCTGCCCAAGTTGCCCCGAAGTTGGCGATCTCCCATATTAGGTCAAATACGTCTTTCGAGACTCAATAACAATGTATTTTTCATTCAGCCTCATTTTCTTCTCTATAGTGTCTTTGAAAATAAGTGACTGTCGCATTTCTTCTTCTTAATTTGTATTATATGCTACGGATCAAGTCAATGTGTGTATTTTGGACGGAAGAAAATGGTCTAATGCTTACTGATTGACTATTTCATAATTTTTGAGTCAGGTACGGATCTGATTCCTCACAAAAGAATATGGTACGTATACACATAAGAAAAACGATGAAATAGTGAATCAGTAAGCATTAGTTTATTTTCTAAAATACAAGATCACATTGATTTGATCCGTGCCATGTAATAAAAATTAGAAGAAAAAATGCGATAGTCACTTATTTTCGAAGACCCTATAGAGAAGAAAATGTGGCTGGATGAAAATCTATTATTACTGAGTTTCAAATGATGCATTTGATCTAATTGTCTGACTTATCATCAACCATTATCAATTATGAAACGTGGAATTGGTAAAAAAAAAATAATAAAAATAATAATAAAAATAAATAAATAAAAAAAATAAATAAATCGTTTTTTTTTGTTTCTCCCGTTTTGTCTATATATATATATATATATATATATATATATATATATATATATATATATATATATATATATATATATATATATATATGTAAAGATAACGAAATATCATTCTTCCTTTACCGTTAAATGCCCTCTCTTTGATAACTATTATATGTGTGCATTTATGTCCATGAAACTTTCATCTTTTATTGAGAATCAGATTTCAGTACTGCAAATCCAGTCATATTGTTGGCCTTACCTCTAGTAGAAATATCTTGTAGGAAAAAAAAAATGAAAACTCTGCAGTGAAGATTTGATGACCTCATAGAAAGTGATCAAATGAAATATGAAAATGATTGTTTTAAGCAATTTTTCAAAATCATCCTTTTCAGGGTCATGGGAATAACTGCGGCGGATCGCTAGTCAGCATCGTTTAAGGTTAGAACTAGGGCGGTATCTGATCGCCTTCGAACCTCTAACTTTCGTTCTTGATCAATGAAAACATCCTTGGCAGATGCTTTCGCAGTAGGTCGTCATGCGACGGTCTAAGAATTTCACCTCTAGCGTCGCAGTACGAATGCCCCCGTCTGCTTCTATTAATCATTACCTCGGGTTCCGAAAAACGACAAAATAGAACCGAGGTCCTGTTCCATCATTCCATGCACGACCATTCGGGCTGTAAGCAAAAACCAGCCTGCTCTGAGCACTTCTAATTTTTTCAAAGTAAAACATGTCCGTCCAAACAGGGGACAACCCGTTGTTAAGGGCATAAAAAGAACCCAACGTGCTGCCTGCGGCGAGACACAGCCTCTCGATCAGAATAAGCGGCAGTAGCCGCCCTAACGACTGGGCCGTACCGCCGGTCCGCCGAGCAAGAGTTAGTCCACAACTAGCGAGCGTTCTCACACCTGGCAAGACAACTTAATAACGTCGTTGCGTTTCTGGAGCATGCTCTGCAATTACCGTCCGTGCGCGCTGCGCCAACCCGAAGATTATGCTGCCTGCACTCGATCCGGCCGGACAAAGATTGTAAACATTGTACTCATTGTACCACAATCTGCAGAGCCCGATTCGGCGGCTCGCAATGCCAGCTATGTTTATCGGTCCACTAACCTCCCTCTCTGTGCCCGCGATGTGCCTGCAGGGTAAGTTCTGCGCATCCCTGCTGCCTTCCTTAAGTATGTTGATTGTATGTCACCATCTCATGACCGTGACTCCGAATAAGTTGATGTCGTCGTACTCACTCTGAGAGTGCGAGAGCCTCCTCCTACCCACCCGTCCTACACTTAGCACGAAGCTCGCCAATACACTAATACCTACATCATCATCAGACGATCAGCAATAGACGAATCTATAAGGTCACGACACGCACACACACTGCCACATGCTCTATGATCATGACAGGTGCGTGCGTCAGCTCTCCATACCCGGCGTGTCACGCGATCCTCGTGTGCTTCTGCGTGCACATCTAGCTGCCTGAGTGGATACATCCTACAATGCTCTCACTTGCATCATCTACTACTCCGCGTAGCATACTAGTCTCGAACTCACGCCTCGCCGATCTATCAACATAACCGGTGTGCACACAGCTGGCGCGAGTAGATATCGCGCAATACTCAGGGCACGTGTTGTGCGCTAGAACGAATCCAGAGCGCGCCACTATGAGTATATCTGAGTGCTATAGATATCACGCTGCACCACTCTCAGTATACCCCTCTCTCTGCATACACGTCTCAACACAAATATCTTGCTATCTATCTACTCCAATCGGAGCGTGTGCGAGAGTGAGTGCGTAGTGAGCGAGACTGGTCTAACTCCACACACGTCAGCATGTCGTCGACGTCGTCATTTGAAACACCATGAGAGAAGAGGTAGGACATTGAGAGAAGAAGGATCATGGAGAGGCCCCGGCAGTCCCACCAGCACAATGGCTGCGCTGCCCCCTGAGCATACGGCCGGCTCACTGCCCGCCGTCCGCTCCCGGCTTTCCCCAGCCGCAGCTTCTTTCCTTCCCTGCCGGCCTTCTCCTCTTCACTTCTCTCTCGACCTCTTCTGGTTATTGTTAATATTCGCATTTCACCAGTCTGGCAAAATTCCCCCCGACAAAGCTCCTACGACCTCTCGTCCCCACTCTCCACCTGCTACAGACGCAGCCTCATAAGCCACACCAGTGGAAAGACAGGGGTACTAAATGGCACGGCCCGGCCGGGTACATTCCTGAAAATTACAGATAGTCTGGGAGCCCCGCACTTTGATTCTCAGCAACTGCTCGTGTTGCGTCGTTGTGGAGGTCCGCATTACTTTTCACTCTCTCCGATGCCTCACGTGCGATAATCTGATCGCGCCTGCACCACACTCTGAACATCATACGGAGACGATTAAGCGTAGTAACTCGACGGAGCCACGGCAGATACCCTACACCACAAACATACTGGCCGCTCCGGGACCTGGCTTACTGCACAGGTTGCGGGCTCGAAAGACTCTCTCTAAACCCTCACTTCGACTCCGTCTTGATCGCCATCCGGGAGCCACGCCAGTTTACCTTCTATCTACACTTCCCTCTCCTGCTGCTCTCATCCGCCCACGCTCAACCCCTACTGGCTCCTCTCATTCTCACTAACCTTAAGATCTCACCATTCACACCCTCCCGGCGGTGCTCGACCTTCCCGCAGCAGTGCGAGGGCGGAAGCGGTGCGCTGGTGTGAACTCGTGCCGGTTGGGTTCGCAGTCAGCTCTCTCCTTCATTCTCGCGCAACAGGCTGGTCACACCGGGTAACTTCAAATCCCGCGCTTTTTCTAGAGCTACCGGACGAAACTCCACTGCGCCAGATGAGCGTGATAGCAAACACTCGCGCGAACGAGAGACGGCATCATGCCGCAGCGTTCGTTCCCGCCTCGATGGGAGCTAAGGCTCCGCCACAAAGTGGCGGCCTATTACTCGGTATGCACCTCCGGCGCGAAACCTCATTCCCGAATCGTTCCAGACGTGAGCGAGGGGCATATCGGCTGCCTGTCTGTGAAGGCAGACTACAAGCGCTACACCTGCTGCCTGGGTCTTCTCAGCGTGGACACGCGCGAGACGCACTGTCTTACCCCGTGCGGCCCCCCGCACCGCCGACCTGCATCATTTACCTCCAAGAGTCAGCAGACGGCGGAGCCCCAAACCCCAACAGTATACACTTCACTCACACCCTACCTGGCAACGTTCAACACTAGCGGAGATACAATGAGCACGAGCAGCAGAGGGACACGAAGGGGGAAAAGCGAGAAATGATAAGCAGTGGCAGATGCACCTCTAGATGTGTGAGTGGGAGGCGAAGAGCCGATCGCGAACGTCGTCTATCTCAATGCGTGGATGTTCCTCACTCCCTCTAATGAATGTCGGCGCGCAGCATAGGCAAGCCCTTCTCAATGCCTCAACACTGACCGCGCTAACTAACCCAGGACGTCCCCGGCCTGTCGCGACCACGCCAGGCACGAATGACTTAGGACGCTCTTTCTTCGACAACTCGTTCCCCACAACCCATGGGCCGCAGCAGTATTCGCGCCTCTCACCTCTATTTCCTCTGCGGTCCTGTACAACTACTAAAGTCAGATCACTGAGAATGGGCTGAGTCAGATACCTGCGGATCCCCCGTCCGATCCACACGCCTCTGACCGGCTCCACGCTCGCCCGCAGTCGGCGACCTTGAGCGCCGCGCCAGCGTCCAGCGCTTACCCAGCCACCAGTGCCCGAGCACTCGCTCGTCATCCCGCCACAGATCAGTCTCGTGACTTTGATGAGCTCCCACTAGTACGAGGGACTGCGCAGCCCGCTTCTTGCCGTTGTCACCCAGGGCCAGGCCGGCGACCCCACCACAAGACCGGCCCTTGCCGCCCCACCACCGCCGCCCGCCGACACCCACAGATAAAGGTGGTGATCGCACCCCGTGTATGTTGTTCGCGTCGGTATATCAGTCTGCGGGTACTCCGACCGTCAGCCATCGACCGATCCCTGCGGCGGAGGCGTCGAGGGCCAGGGAAGGCAGCCCACCTCACGACGGCTACCCCGGGATAAATCCTCAGGACCCCTCCAAGCTCACTGCCCCGCTTCTAGGGGACGTGCCAGGAGAGCACGGGCTCTCCTCGGTCAAGGTGACGGCGGGCTCGGAGCCTACGCCCCGCGCCCGCCCGCCCTCATCCTGGTTCCTCTGTGTCGTCACCGTAAAATGAATTCTATTGCAGCAAGGGTGTTGGCAGGAGAGATAGCTCCTCACAACATGCCCGGATCCCCGCCCGGCGCGCGATGCCTCTAAAGTCCAAGCAAAAGTGCCGGCCCTCTCGCGACCACTCGTCTGCGCAATAAGCCCACCCCGGCGCCGGTCGCCCCGACGGCGAGGCTCGACTTCGCTCCCGTCGTCCTACAGCCGTCCCGTGAAGATGTCCCTCCTATCAGTTGCCGGCGCATCTGGCCCTCCAGCCGCATCACCGGCACCTGCACCGGCCAGGGCCGGTCCGGTCCCGGGGCCATGGGAAGGCAGCCCCTCCGACGGCCCCGGCAGCCAGGACCCACCAAAGCCTGCCATCCACACTTTCGCGACGGGAGCCGCAGGAGGCAGGGGCTTGCCTCGCGCCGGCCAGGCAGGGGCCCACGCTCCCTAGCGCCGCGCCGCACGTCCCGCCTCCTGCCCCCCGGCCTACAGCAGGGGCGCAGGAGACGGAGGAGAGCCACAGCCGCCCCGCCCGGGGGGCGAGGCCCACCGACAGCATTGGCTCTGCACCCGCCCCCGCTAAGGCCCCCGCCGTTCTAGGATTGCCCGACGTGCAGAGCTCTCGACGCGGAGCTCGGCCGCACCACGGCGAAGCGAATGCGTGGCCCCCCTTACAGTCTTTCCGGATCGAGTGCCCGCTTTCGGAAGCCACTAAACTACAACCACGCGCCGCCAGGGCCCGCATCCTCGCCGCCGCGTAATGGGATAAACCGTGCCCTCTTCCGGTGGCATCCATCGGCAGGGCCGCTATCGCCGCTCCCCTCATCGCCGTCCGCCCACCGCCGCTGGACGATGGTCATCCGCGGGGCCGAAGCGAGGGAAAAGCCACGAGCCAGCCCCTGCCCAGAGAAGACGATGGCAGACCTGACAGGACAGGCTCCAACCCCATCCTACTCTAACATTCAACTACTTAATAAGATCCGCCCGTCCCTGCACCCCGCCCTAACGATCTGGGCCGTGCGACGTAAGGGCTGTCATGTCCACGTGTGGAAGAGGAACGCCCAGTCCATCCAAACCGCGGCCCCTGTACCCTCCAGGTTGGGCGGGGACGCCCCGACGACCTCCTCAAGGCCGCTCTAGCAGCAGCCGGGCTCCGAGTGCGGGGCGTCTGCCACCTCGCCCCCGCAGCTTCACGGAGGGCCTAGTCCCCCTTTCGTAGTAGTCGCAGGCCGCATAGCGCCTTCAAGCCACGCACGCACCGTCGCCCAGGTGCCTCGCCCCCTTTGCCCTGTTCCGGCCGGCGGGCAAGGCCCCGCCTCCACGGGGGGCATGCTTTCAAAGGCCACGCCCCGAATCCGCACCCGCGCGCCCTCGACCCGAGGCGAGGGTGCGCCAGGGCGCTGAGGGGGACGGTGATGAGCCCCGAGCCAACCCCCTGTTCTAAGAACGGATCGAATTGGGCACGCCCAGCGCCAGGCCAGGGCCCTGCCCCCTCCGTCCGCACACGAGGGAGCGCCTCGGGGGTGGCCGAACGGCAGGTAAGGAACAGCCCAACGCCGTCCCCTAGGCCAGCCAACGGAAGGCTTAGCTGGCAGACAGGCCACCCATGGAGGCGCCGCCGCCACCGCAGCCCCTCAGGCCCACAATTCTCCTCTCCACCTCCATAGGCCCTGAACGCCCTTTTCCCGGACCTTGCGGGGGGCGTCCAGGTGGGGGGGACCCCGCTAGCGCCGCCCTGGCCCCAGCTCAGGCCAGGCGACGGCACGGCCGGAACGGAACCGAAGTGGTGCAGACCGCGCGCTCGCTCCGCCGCCGCCGCACCACACAGCCAGCAAGGGCCGGCCGGCCTCGGTGCTCCGGCGCGGCCCCGCGCTCCACAGCCGCGTCGCCTGGCAGCCCGAGACCCGCCACCTGCGACTACCCCGCACCCTAACCATCCTCTCCCATAGTTGTCACTCGGCACCATCAGGCCCGCAACCAATCACGACCAGAGACCTTAGGTCCCTTAACATACCGGCTCCGAGCAATGGAGCGGAGCCTCCGTAGCGGGACCGCCAGTGGGGAACTCCTGCCCTGCCGGCGGCAGCCTTGGTCGGCCCTCTTTGATGTGCGCGTTGCCTGGGAGGACTGGTTCTAGATAAACGACTATTATGCGGCCAACTACTTGGAGGGCAGGGTTAATGGAGGGGTCACCGATCCTACCACCTCGCCCCCCACCCCACCGTTCTTCGCGCTACTCCGTCGCGGACTCCTTTCGCGACGGGCGCGTCACTATAACTATGCCCGTTGTTAAAGCCACAAGTAATTCTACGAAAAATCGGGGGTTTCATTTTTTAAGACAAATCCTTGACATTATTGTAGGGCTCTGTGGCATATAACTTTTATTTCCGTTACATCTTCAGGCAACAGTGCGACTTGTATGACGCTCTGCTATCTTCCTCAATTTGTTGATCGCAACCGTTGTTCGGATTCCAATTTTAAATTCCAATTCCTACTTTCATGGTGACATATAGAAATAAGATAAAGAGAAGCACAGTGAGTTGATGTTGATTTATTGAAGTGATATATATATATATATATATATATATATATATATATATATATAATCGGAAGAGAAGACCATTAGAGGGGAAAATTCAGGAAAACCACTGCAAGCACGACGACATGTTGGTCACGTGTTCCTCGTCACTGTTTCCTCTGAAGTTTCCTGAAAAAAAAAAAAAAAGCGAGCTGTGATCATGGATTAACGACAACAGAGAAAACATAAACAAAAGTGACATTCCATTACTAGGAATAACAACAACAGCAAGAATAGATAATAATATCACTATCAACCATAATGGCATAATTGATTATATTGATAATAACAACCGTAATGATTACAACTAATGGTTTCCTACTCTACTCACAGCCTCCGAAGCCTCCGCCAAAGCCTCCTCCGCCTGAAAAAAATGTCAATTTCTCGTAAAATGTAAAATATTTTCAAACAATGCAGCATTTTAGTGAAGTTATAGACAACCACAGAACAACCCAACACACTCACACACACACACACACACACATATATATATATATATATATATATATATATATATATATATATATATATGTATATATATATATATATATATATATATAATATATAAATATATATATATATATATATATATATATATATATATATATATATAATATATATATATATATATATATAAATCAGGTAAACTAACACGTAGAAGGAAATTCCACTCCATACATGTCAATCATAACCAATGCCGATGATTGCAAAAATATTGCAAATGCAAGCCAGAGAAGAAGGCTGCAGGCCAGCGCCAGAGGAACCGCTATGAGGAGGAGAAATGAGGGAGTGCTTCCGCCGGGATGAAGCGCGGCCGTCAGGAGTCTTCCACACGCCATCTCCCTCGGAGTACTCACCTCCCAGTCCTCCACCGCCTCCGAAGCCTCCGCCTAAGCCTCCACCGCCATGACCTCCATGGTGACCTCCGTTACCTCCTCCGTGACCGCCGTGGTGACCTCCGCCGCCACAGCAGGCCAAGGACTTGGCGCCGACGAAGGCGACGGCGAGAGCCAAGAGGAGGACGAAGGCAAGGAACCGCATCTGAAGGGAGCGTCGAGGGAGAAGGACCCTGAGGAGCTTGGCCTTTTCGGGAAGCATTTATTGTTATTAATCAATATTTATCAAGAATTTAGTCAATAGTATTTTCATTATATCTAATTATTACTGCTATTATTGTTCTTATCATCATTACTGTTACTATTATTATTATTATTATTATTATTATTATTATTACTGTTACCACTACTATAACTGCTATAATTGTTACTATTTGTACCATAACTGCTACTGTTCTCATTCATCACACCATCATTATTATCATCTATTTCAGTACTGTTTCAATTACTATAATACTGATATAATGTCATTATGTCATCGTCGAACGTAAAAGCAGTTATGAAGATGAAACTTCCGATGCCTGTCGTTTTACATGTTAGCTCAGCATTTTTTCTTAGATGATGTAAATTGAATTTCGATGTTAATCAAATCACGCATCAGCGCGCGAGCGGAATTGACTGAAAAGCAAAATGTATAACAAAACAAAGGCAGATGACTCCAACGCCACAGCTGACACATGGCAATGGGTCTCAGATTTCCCAGGCTTCTTACCGTGGTCTTCGTGAGCTCCTGGACTGCCGAATCTTGAGGACCGAAGGGCTTATATGTTCCCTTTGCGCCCCTACTCCTTCTGCTCCCCTCTCCCCCTTGAAATCTTGACCCTGACCTTTATCCTGCTTGGATGACGCCTAACCCATCGACCGAACTTGAAGGATAATGCTAATCATGTGTGCAAACCCAATCAGAGACGTCAGTTCCCGACCCGCTGCAAGGCCTGGCTTCGACTTCGTCATCGAGCTCCTGGATTAAACAAACAGCTGATCCTAAACAAACAATTCTGCTGGCGGCCGTCCCGTTGCTT